GAAAAAACTGCCTTCATGACACCCGAAGGCATCTTCTGCTATCTTGTGATGGCCTTTGGCCTCAAAAATTCAGGCGCCACCTACACACGCATGGTGGCTAGGGTCTTTCAAGCTGTCCTAGGGCGCACCATGGAGGCTTACGTTGACGATATGATCGTCAAAAGTAAGAAGGCAAGCACTCACGCCGACGACCTCCGGGAGATTTTTTCCATCATGCAAAAATTCAACCTCCGGCTAAATCCAAAGAAATGCACCTTCGGCGTGCAGGGAGGAAAGTTCTTGGGCTACGTGGTCAGCCGAAGGGGTATTGAGGCCAACCCCGAGAAGATTCAGGCCATCATCAACATGGAGCCTCCACGCAACGTCAAAGAAGTTCAACGGCTGACGGGTCGCCTGGCGGCCCTCAACCGATTCCTCTCTAAGTCAGCCGAGAGGGCCCTCCCCTTCTTCCAAATCATGAGGAAGACAGCGGGTTTTCAATGGACACCTGAGTGTCAAGAAGCCTTCGACGAACTCAAGAAGTACCTCTCCTCTCCCCCAGTGCTCTCCAAACCAAAGGTGGGGGAGACTTTATACTTATATCTCGGTGTTAGCCCTGCGGCTATCAGCTCAGTACTAATCCGAGAAGAAGACGGCATCCAACATGCCATCTTCTACGTCAGCAAAACCCTCCGGGAGGCCGAACTCAGGTATTCTCCCGTCGAGAAGACGGTGCTAGCCATCGTTTGGACCGTCAAGAAGCTTGGCCACTACTTTCAAGCTCATCCGGTCCAAGTGCTCACTCATCAACCCCTCGGCGCCCTCATGAGAAGTCCCACTAGCTCCTCCCGGATGGTAAAATGGGCCATCTTCCTCAGCCAATACAACATAGACATCCGTCCGAGGCCTGCCATTAAGGGCCAAGCCCTGGCGGACTTCGTAACGGAATGCACCGCAAGATCAGCAACTGACGAGGAGCCCTCGGCACCCCTCGATGAGTGGTGGACCCTCTACACCGATGGCTCCTCGGCCACCAAAGCATGCGGAGGGGGAGTAGTTCTGATCACACCCGAAGGCTTCCGCGCCTATTACGCCATCCGCTTCTCCTTCAAGGTCTCCAACAACGAGGCCGAGTACGAAGCCCTCCTATGTGGCCTTCGGCTTGCAGCAAATCTGAAGGCCAAGATGATCCACGTCAAGTGTGACTCCAAGCTTGTAGTGGGGCAAATTTCCGGGGAGTACGAGGCCAAGGAAGGAAGGATGAAGCAGTACAAGGAGGCTGCCAAGGAGTTGCTTAAGGTATTTGAGACACATTCCCTCACCCAAATACCGAGGGCTCAAAACTCTGAGGCCGACATTCTGTCCAAGCTCTCGGATGAATCCCCCGAGCACCTCTCAAAAATTGCAAGAATCGAGGAGCTCAGCCTCTCAAGCATCCACACAAGCCCCATTATGAATATTAACCTCAGACCGGAGGATTGGATTTCCGACATCATCACCTTCGTCACCACAGGGCAATTGCCCCAAGACGATGCACGTGCCAAGTTAACAAAGCTGAGGGCTCCCAGCTACGCCATCGAAAACGGAAGGCTTTACAAGAGATCCTACAACGGCACCCTCCTTCGGTGCCTTCACCAAGATGAGGCCGAAGTCGCCATGGAGGAAGTGCACAGTGGCACTTGCTCAGCTCACCAGGGACCCTTCTCCATGTCCCGAAGGCTCATAGTTCAGGGCTACTTCTGGCCCACGATGGCTAGGGATTGTGCTGATCTAGCCCGAAGGTGCACCGCTTGCCAACACTTTCAGAAGGCCCCCGGCAGACCAGCGGTCAACTATGCTCCCATCAGCACCGCTATACCCTTCTCCAGATGGGGAATTGACTTAGTAGGCCCTCTGCCGAGGGGTACCTCCAACAACAGGTATATCATTGTGGCCATTGACTACTTCACCAAGTGGGTAGAGGCCGAGCCCCTCGCCAGCATCACTGAGGCCCGGTGCCGCCACTTCGTTCTCAAAAATATTCTCACAAGGTTTGGCGTCCCCCAACAAATTATCTCCGACAACGGGACTCAGTTCGAGGCAGCCCCCTTCTGTGCCCTTCTTGAAGCTTGGGGCATCAAGCACACATTCTCTTCCGTGGCCTACCCTCAGGGCAACGGGCAAGTAGAGAACGCCAACCGCACCCTCCTCGAGGGGTTGAAGAAGAAGCTGGAAGCCGAAGGGGGAGGCTGGGTAGAAGAACTTCATAACATCCTATGGGCCTACCGCACCACCCCTCGGCGTGCAACAGGTGAGACACCCTTCTCCCTGTGCTATGGCTTCGAGGCTAAGGCGCCCACGGAGGTTACCCTTCCTACCCGAAGGGTGGAACAATATGAGCCCGAGGCCAATGACGCCAACATGGCCCTCGACCTTCATCTCATCTCGGAACGTCGAGAGCAAGCTTTCCTCAAGGCCGAAAACTATAGAAGACAAGTCAAAGGATACATCGACGCCAAGGTCCGCTCCCGGGAATTTCAGGTGGGTGATTACGTCCTCCGACGAAGGGAGGCCAGTTTACCCACCGAAGGAGGAAAGATGGCACCCAAGTTTGAAGGCCCCTACATCATCTCAGCCGTCATCAAACCAGGGACATACAAGTTAAAACGTCCTAATGGGACGGAGATTCCTAGACATTGGAATGTGCACCACCTAGTGAAGTTTTACCAATGAGTGGCCAAGCCCTCATCCTCAACAAGTGTAAATGATCAATGGCCCAAGGCCCCATCTGTTTTTGAAGAATAATCAAAAGGCCAAGCCTTCATCACCTACATATTGTACAAGCGGCCCAAGGCCCCCCCTTCTCTCCTACAAATGAGTGGCCAAGCCCTCATCGCTTCACCAAAATAGGCCCATGGCCTCTCCTTCTCGTGAGGGGGAACAACAATTTAGGTACCAAGTACCAAGTGTATGGGTCACCCCCATCACTCTTTGAAAACACCAAGTGTTTTCTCTAACTTTTACACACTCTCCTAAAAAAAAAAAAAAAAAAAAAACCGGGGGGTGCAATACCCTCGGCTCCGGCTGGTACCAAGTGCCCCCGGCTATTTGTGTTCTACACACAAATAAAACCCTTCCCAGGAACGCTTTCCGCGCCATCCCCCAAGGGGAGGCAGGCAACGGACCATGTCCCGGGCCCAGGATTCGACTTCCACAAACGAAACGCTCCCCGCGCTATCCCCCAAGGGGAAGCAGGCAACAGACCATGTCTCGGGCTGAGGGGACGACTTTCAAAACCGAGGCGCTTTCCGTGCTATCTCCCAAGGGGAAGCAGGCAACAGACGATGTCTCGGGCCGAGGAAACGACCCTCAAACCCTTCGGGATGTCGGAAGGTCATTCCCGAAGGGGGAGCCAACGGTTTATTCCGTTGCCTCCCATATAGGCCAAGCCTTTCCTAGACACCAAGTTTCTAGATGCCTCTCCTACACCATCTACAAAAAAAAAAAAAGAGAGAGAGAGAGAGAGAGAGAGAGAGAGAGAGAGAGAGAGAGAGAGAGAGAGAGAGAGAGAGAGAGAGAGATGTGTAGGGGGGAAGGAACTCCCCGGATACTATTCTCCCCGGAGGCTCAACACTTCGGACATACATTCCCGAAGGCTGCTACAAATGCACAAGAAAGTCTCGCAACAATAAGTCATCTGGCTGCATAGCCGAAGGCTTCATTGTTGCATGAAACATTGGAGTACAAGATTTCCCCCAAGAAGATTTCGGCTGGATCAAAGTGAACCACGTAACATGCCGAAGGCTACACAAAATTCTAAAGCAGGCTAAACCAATGTCTACACAAACCGGAGGCTTCGTGCCGAAGGCAGAATATCACCAGACTCATTTGAGGATGAAAAAATTTATAAGTCCACAGATGGGAACCCTTCGGGGGGGGCTACATTGCCAATCAAGGGCATAGGATGCAATTTCACCTAGTGGAATTCCTAAGTCTAATTCCTTTTATCCCTCGGCCCCACTACTACGAATGTCCGAGGGGTCCTGATTCTATGCTACAAACCAAGGCCTATACGTGAGTCCATAACCTTGAACCCCTCGACAACTATATGAACAGGGGGCTCAAACAATCCCCTCGATCGAAGGATCACTAAGTCCACAATTGGGGGCCCTTCGGGGGCAAACCAAGATGCTATCTTCACCAACTTTCTCACAGCCGATGGCCCCTAAACTACTTGGCGATGACCTAAAGCTACACTACTGACGAAGGCTCAGCATTTCCGAGGACATAAGATACAATTTCATTTCTGAAGTTCAGCACCACATCCGAAGAGTGTTGACAAAGGTTGTACTTAGAAAATTTTCTAAGTTCACTACAAACCCCGGCGAACCAGTACTACAACCGAAGGCTTGCTGTCAAGTCCACCAATCCCTGGCCCTCGAACAGGCAGACAGAAAGAAAGAAACATACATTCATGCACAAACATACGGAAGGAAACAAAAGCATACATTCATACACGAAGGCAGCAAATTGAAACACAAGCGCAAAAAGGCGAAAGCATACATTCAGGTTAAGAGAAAGAGGAACTATGGGACATCAGTAACAAAAACCGAAGGCATATACTAAACATTCAAAAGGCCCGAAGGCAAGACGTTCATTGCGAAGAATGTAACAACGGAAATTGTTTAAGTACAGAATATGTTTCATTACGATGAATGGCCGGGGCCGAAGCCTACTATCTATTACAAAAATTATACTCAAGGGAACTCCTAAGCTGGGGCTCCTTCTGCTGCGTCAGCTTCCGGCTTGGAGGCCGCATCATCCTCGGCATCTTCCTCGTCATCAGAGGCGCATCCGGCCAGTTCGGAGTCCTCTAGCAGCTGCCTCTCTTCACCATCCGGAAGGGGAGTCCTGATGTCTGGAACCAAGGGGGGGAGGCCGTAAGGGGAAGGATCGAAGGCCTTCGGATCTACCCCGAAATGTCGGGCCAGCCTCCGGTAAAGCATGGCCTGGGTAAAATACTGACCCCCCTCATAGAAGCTCTTCCCCTTCCGGGCCAACCACATCGCCCCGGGGCCCTTCACCCAAGCTTCCACCGAGGACTCCACCACTGATTCCCTCCATTGCTCCAGGCCCTCAGATTTCCAGCCCCCGGCTACGAAGCCATCAACAGCCTCCTTCTTGGCCATAGCGACCGCCTCCCGCTTGGAACTTTCTGCTTCCTCGGCGGCTGATTTGGCGGCAGCGGCGGCAATCTCTTCGGCCTCAGCTTTCCCTTTGGCGATTCCCTCGGCCACGCCCTCATTCTTGGCGGCCTCCAGCTTCCGCTCAGCCACCCGGAGGGCCTCCTCCAAACATGCCAGCTGCCGTATGGCCTCGGTATTGTTTGCAACGAGCTTCCTCGTCACCTCGTCGGATTTGGCCTTCTCGAGGCGGTGCTGTTCCGCCCTGCGGACAAGTTCCCCGAAAGCCAGACTAGCCTGCAAACATGGAAGAAGCGCTCAATATAAAACTATTCAAAGGAAAGGAGAGAGAAGAAGGGCTAAGGATTCGAAAGATCCGAGCACTTACAGTGGCAGAAGCTTGAAGAGCCTTGAGTTCGAGGGCTTCATCCCCGAACCGGCTGAGAGTGGACCGGTCCACCGAGGGGGTGGCACCCTTCAAGAACTCCCTCGGGTCGAGGGTGCCATGCATGATGGCTGTCCCCTTCTTGATGGGGAAATGTACGGTTTCCAAAGGCCAGGCCCCTTCATCGAAATCCTCCAAAGGAACGGAGGCCGAGAGCTGGCCGGAAGGGAGGTCGTCGAGGATCACGACTGGGGGAGCCTTTTGTCCAGCGTCCCCCTTTGCCTTCTTCTTCTCCGGGGGCTGTAAGCCCTTCCCGGCGTTCTTCCTTTTGAGCTCTCCCTCCTTGGAGCCTCCGGCATCAGAACCGGCGCCAGCAATTGCAACCCCCTTTGGGGGCCCTTGACCCTCAGGGGTCTCCTGCTTCTTGGAGAGGGCGTCTCCCTGCGGCTGTGCCGGAGGCCTCTCCTCCTTCTTCTTCTTGTTCTTGGCCAGTTGCCGGGACAGCTTGGAGAATGCCTTCGGGTCCATAAAATCGCCTGCGAAAGAACATCAAGGAAGAAGTTAGAATCAAAAGCGAATCAAGGACTTACATCTCTAAGTACTAACAGTAATGGCCCTCGGCAACAACCTCTAACACCCGGAGAGCCCCGGTCAAGGAGAGGATATCTCTCGTCTTTCTCCCCTGGCAGGCGATACCGCTGGAATTCTAGCTTAAACAGCTCTTCCGGGAGCGTGGCGGCCTTGATTGTTGTCAGCTTCTCCGAACCCGGAAGCTTCGCCTTCAGCTTTTTCCCATCACTCTCAAGGGCGGCGTTGCCTACCTTGGGGTGCCTCCGGAAATGATTGCGGAGAGGCCTCGGGAAATCAGCTCCCAGCATCCTCAGGTAGCAGAATCGATCCTTCCATCCCTTATGGGACGAGGGTACCTCTGAGAACAGCCTCCATGCCGGCAGCTGTTGGAGGTTGGCAAAGCCTTCGCTGTTTGCGGCCCCCCCTCGGCAAAGGTTGAAGGACAGAAAAAACTGGTCAAGAGAAGGTTCCACCCCCCGGGAATCACACAGAGAGAGGAACCCCGCCAAGTATGAATGGCTGTTGGGAGTTAACTGACAGGGAGCGAGGCCTACGAACCGGAGGTATTGCACGACGAAGGGGTGCAAGGGGAAGCGGAGGCCCAACTCCACCGAGAGGATATGCACAGCAAAGCAGCCTTCGGGGGGGGATAACAGCACGTCGTCAGGACCTGGCACCACCACCTGTGCCGACGGGCCCACTAAGAGCTGAGTCTTGAGATACTCCGCCTCCACAGCCTTCGTCTTCAAATCTAGCGCGGCTGTGTTGAGGTAGGAATGTCCTTCGGGAATTCCCACCGACTGTCCTGCATCTACCGCAGCCTGTTTCTTCTTCTGGGCAGCCTTCTGCTTCTTTCCCTTCTTCCCCGAAGCTACCCGGAGGGGCACCGCGTCAATTGGCCGGGAGCTACTCGTTTCACCGGCGCCTCGCGAAGGCAAAAAAGCAACCGTGACACGTTGCCTCTCCTTCTCCTCCTCTTCCTCAGCTACCTGAAGCGCGAGGGCCATCTCCTCGTCCTCAGCAACCTGTTCGAAGTCTTCGGCTTCAACCTCAGCATGAAGGTTGCTTTGTACCTCTCTCGCCACCTCAGAATCATTGTTGGACGAAGCCTCGCTCGATGACTCCATACCCAAGTAGCTCTCAGATTGGGCGGGGGCTTCCTCCGAGATGTTTTGAGAGTCGCTTGCCGAGGACATCTTTTCGCGGAATAAGGAGGAAGATTGGAAAAGAATACTAACTGGGGGGAACTAAAACGCTAAATCTAAGGCCGAAGTAGCTAAGTATGCCGAAGAAACGAAGAACTGAGGAAGAACTGACCTTAGAAATAGGATTTGATCGAAGCAAGGACTTTCTCTCTCTAGAAAATTTGGCAGAGCTTCGCTTCAATTCTAAAACGCGCAGCGGAAATGAGCTCAGACTTGGAGTATATATAGGCTTTCAGCCTTGAGAACTGGGCCTGGATTTGAAAAGGCCATCATTACGGGCCGCCGGTTCAGCCAATGGATGGAAGCCGCCCCCCATCTGCCAACGACAAAGCGCCACGTGGAACCCTCTTCCAACGGCTATATTACAACGACTATATTTCGGCAACACTGGGGTGCCTTCGAATGGTAGCCTCCGGCTATCACTCACCACACCTTTTCTGCCAGCAAATTTCATCAAACGCCTTCGAGCTTGCGGCAGCGTAAGCCCCCGACTTGTCCGTATTATCACCCCTCGGGTTCGCATCAACACATCATAACTCCTTCAGCCCGAACTTGCCTTCGGCCTAAAGGAGTGGGGGACTGGGATACACCCCTCGGGAATCATGCAGGACAAAAATTCCTCATGCAAAGATTTACAATTGACGCAGGTAGCATCCGGGTGAACATCAAAGCAGAAACTTTCGGGTACATACTTCAACACACCCTGCAGAGGTAGAGTATCAAAATTTTTCCCCGAGTCACTTTGCGGAAATGAAGCAACCCTCATCACAACACACGCAGGCAATACATCCATGCTTTCCTCAGAAAACCCTCGACGTGTGAGGGACTGAGGAAAGCCTTCTGCGGTCATACAGGTGTTATACTGCCCTCAGAAAACCCTCGACATGTGAGGGACTGAGGGAAGCCTTCGGCAATCAGCAGTGGACAAAGTTCTCCAGCAAAGGCACCCGGTGAAATGAGGAAGCCTCCAGAAGAAGCAACACATCTACTCCTTTTCCCTCAAGTACCTTTCGGCAAAAGGAGTGAGGGACTCCTGATGGAGTATATGGTCCAGGAACCCACGGCCCACAGACTCCTACTTCTCCTACACAAGTCCATTAAAGCCCAGGAAGCAACTCAGGCCCAAATACAACGGCCCAAGCCTCAAAGTAGCCCCGAATACACACTGGGGTGCCTTCGGCCTCCTTGGCCGTAGGCTCCAAAACTCACAGGATAGCCTTCTCTGGCACAAGAAGCTGCTGGGAGAAAACGGGCGAGGACATGAGCCTTCGGCATTCTCATGCCCTCGGCACCAGGGGACGCCTTCGGCTGAACCTAGCCTTCGGCTACACAAGGAGCCCTCGGCTACACAAGGAGCCCTCGGCTACACAAGGAGCCCTCGGCTACGCAAGGAGCCCTCGGCTACGCAAGGAGCCCTCGGCTACGCAAGGAGCCTTCGGCTACACAAGGAGCCCTCGGCTACACAAGGTGCCTTCGGCTGAACAAGCTCAATCATCGAAGATTCCTTTTAGAGACAGCCAACCACCGCATTTAATGCCACGTCGCATCCACCAACCGCATTCAATGCGGTTGACGTACCACTGCCGGTGCCACCAGGCTGATGTGACCCTTCGGCCGTTGGATTACTGACACGTGTCCTCTCATCGCATTTATTGCTGCTATAAATAGCAGCCCATTTCTCCTTGTAAAACGACATCTGCATCTCAACTCCACATCTCGAGTTCATTTAATAAAATCGACTCTCTCTCCTCCTATTTGCTCTGACTTCTCTCTAAGTTATTCCCGTAATAACCCCTCGGATAAGATACCCCCCGGGTAGACTGTCCATCAATTAGCACTTTTAAAATAAAAGTGTTTTTAGAATAATGAAAAAGATAATGAAAAGTTAGTTTGCACTTTGGTGCTCCTGTACTACGGGTAGCGCCCCCTACTCTAGCCTTCCGGGCCGGATAGAGATGTTACAGCATGTCAAGATTGGGCCCACACCTATTTGTCCACGATAAAAAAGTATGACACATCATCCCTGAGGGTCCCGATACTTGCAAATAATGAGTGGGGCTCTCATCCAAACACTTAGAAGTATATGCAATTTTACATAATAACCTCTGATTACAGTTATGAGAATTCAAATCCGATACTTGTCCTTGTGGCACCCTTATGTACCCGGCTTAACAACACCCACAGGCCAATATTTTTGTTTCGAGGTAAGGGTCAATTGAGTACATCAACTTGTATGAGGTGGAGTAAAGAGTACACTAAATTGCATTTGATCTTTTTAGGTACACAAACTTGATTTTTTAGTGTTAGTTGAGTACACCTGTTAGATTAACATATTAATATGTCTGAGTTGGCTAACAGAATGCTAATAAATCAACTTTTTGAAGGTCGACGCCAACCCCCAACCCTTGACACGACTTCCCCTTGGTCTACGTCAGTCCCCTGCAAGTCGACTCCCCTTGGTCGATGCACCCCTGCTAGCCGATTCCCCCCACAAGTTGACCTCAGAAGGTCGATTTTTCCTTTTTGGTCAACTTCGTGAAGGTCAGCGTCATAACGTTGGTCTATTATTACTCTTTCTTACACAGCACTCTGTTAGTCAACTCAATCATATTAATGTATTAATCTAACAAATGTACTCTATTAACACTAAATAATTTGTCATATCTATGTCAAATGCAACACAATACACTCTTTGTTCGACGATAACATGTAAGTATATTAGAAAAAAACCGTCAATAGTTCATCTGTACAGAGAGAATATATGAGCAAAAATGTAGGCTAACCAAAGGTTGGATAACCCATCACCTGCCAAAATAAGGGTGCCATGACAGCCCCCTCCTATACTACCTCACGGCCAATCACAAACACAAATAGGTGATTGGCAAAAAGTTATCAAAGTACTACCAAATCATAAGGATAGATGCAATACAGAATTTTATAGACAACATATAGTATCCTGGCAAAAACTTGCTCCTCCTTTGGCAAAAAATCATCAAAGCGAGCTGCATTCCTGACTCTCCAAAGCGAGTATATGGTGCACGAGAAAGCAATCCTGGCAGCCTTGGCTCGTACACTAGCTCCACTCCTCTCCTTCTTGATCCATTTGACCGCACTAGCTAGGGTCCCCATCACTCGTGGAATGCCAATCCATGCTTTCATCATAGCCCAAACTTTTCCTGAAAAAGAGCATTCAAAGTAGAGGTGTGGAACCGTTTCCGGTCCACCCTTGCACAATACACACGTATTATCCACATCCAATCTATGAAGATTATCACACGTGGCTAATCTATTACGGAATGCCAGCCAAGTAATAAAGGAAAACTTGGGAGGAATGTAATCTTTCCAAATAAATGGCATCCACACACGGGTGGCAGCCCTAGTCCTAAGTAAATCATAAACCTTGGAGGATACAAGCTTGCCATTGGATTGAAGAGCATTTAGGCCAAGTATAGCACTCGGAATGTCCGGGAATTTGGAAAGTATTTCATCACGGATTAATGCTATCTTTTTGAATAATTGTGAATCTCTTTCGTGTGGGACAAACTCCCACACACTCCTTCCCTTTAGATAAACCCCATGCACCCACTTGACCCAAAGAGTATCCTTTTTAGTGTGTATATCCCAAAAAGTTTTTGAAAGTAGAGCCTTGTTCCAAACCTTCGTATCATGTATACCAAGTCCACCTTCTTCTTTCGGGAGGCAAATATCCGCCCAGGCGACCCTAGCGAATTTGCTTCCCCAAAGAAAAATGCGGCAAATGGATGTAATCCTGTCAAGAATAACATTGGGGATGGGAAACATTTGTAGCCAAAAAGAGTGTACCCCCTGTATAACTGATTTGACTAGCTCAACTCTGCCTGCATAAGATAAAGATTTAAGACTCCAAGCATTAATAAAAGTGGTGATGGACTCTAAAAGGGGTGCGTATTGGGCCACAGATAGCTTTAGGGGCGCCAGAGGGACCCCAAGATAAGTGACCGGGAATGCACCAATTTTAAAGTCCACCAGTTCAAGTATAGTATCAAGCTCATAATATGCATTACCACCAAGGAAGATATTTGATTTATCATAGTTGACCCTAAGGCCAGATATGTTACCAAAATCTTCCAAAGCCTGTGTAAGAATCTGTATAGATGTGATATCACCTCTAGAAAAAAGCATCAAATCATCAGCATATGCCACATGTGAAATATTGAGTGACCTACACAGAGGATGGTGATTGAACATAGGGTTGTTGGTCCTATAATTCAATAGTCTAGACAAGTACTCCAAGCAAAGGACAAATAAGAGGGGGGACATAGGGTCCCCTTGCCGAAGCCCTCTTTTACCCTCAAAATGGCCATGGAGAACACCATTGATTGATATGGAGTATGAAGCGGTGGTGACACACTCCATAATCCAGTGTATGAATCTGCCCGGGAATCCCAAGTGGGTCAACATACTAGTAAGGAAGTCCCAAGATATAGTATCATAGGCTTTCCGGAGGTCAACCTTGATCATACATCTTGGAGACATACGTTTCCTAGCATATCCTTTAATCAGTTCTTGGGCAACAAACACATTATCAATCATGAGTCTCCCATCAACAAAGGCCCCCTGGGCTTGGTCAATAAGGTCCGGAAGGCACGGGATCATTCTTTTAGAAATGATCTTAGTGATGACTTTGTATACCACATTTGTACAAGCGATTGGTCTAAAGTCAGCCGGCGTAGGAGAATGGGTTGTCTTAGGAATTAAAGCAATAACCGTGTGGTTAGTTTGCTTTAATAACCTACCCGACAAAAAGAAGGCCTTAACAGCCTTGGTGAAATCATAACCAACCCTGGTCCAATTCTTTTTAAAAAATGCCGATGTGTATCCATCAGGACCAGGTGATTTGTTGTCACCAATGTCAAACAAAGCCTCTTTGATTTCCACATCTGTGACAGGACCAATAAGGCTGGCCGAGGCAGCAGAAGGGAGACATCTACCCGAGGCAACTATATTGGGGTCCAGTCCGGAGGTAGGATAGTGAGTACCAAATAAGTCAGTGTAAAACTTCACCAGTTCCGTAGCCACTTGGTCAATAGAGGTGGTAGTCATTCCATTTTGGAGTTTGAGAGCCGTAATGGAGTTTCTAGCCACATTCTTTTTCACAATAGCATGGAAGTATTTGGTGCATTTATCACTTTGGACAAGATGGTTAGCCTTGGCCTTTTGCCTAAAAAAGTCTTCTTCAGCCACTTTAAGGTTAAGAAGTTTTTTCTTTATCAAGGAGAGTTCTTCTTTTATAGTTTCATCCAACGGAGAGAGTATAGAAAGCCCAAGGAGCCTTTTATACTCTTTTTTGGAGTCCTTAACTCTTTCAGAAATGTGACCAAAATGGAGTTTATTGAGCTCTCTAAGTGGTCTTTTAAGGTCCTTCAGTTTCTTGGCTAAAATAAATTGAGAGCTTCCATAAACCTCTTTAACCCAATGGGTAGTGAGGATGGCATTGAAATTCTCATGGTTTAGCCACATATTAAAAAATTTAAAAGGCCGAGAGGCAGCCCCATTAGTTTTCCCAATGGAAACCATGGAAGCTACATGGTCGGATTCAAGTTCGAAATCATGAAAATGTGTTTTGCACTCAATATCCAAAGTAGACCAAAAAGAATTAATAAGAACTCGATCTAGTTTAGCCCAAAGGGAACCTCTATTCCAAGTAAGGAATTGGCCCGTGGATGGGCAATCAACAAGATTAGTTTGCAATTTAAAATCATTTAAATGTTGCATAACATAGGCCGAGGGAGGGGTAGGACCCACCCTCTCATTCGGGCATCCAACACAATTAAAGTCTCCCATTACTAGCCAAGGGCTATTAATGTTAGGCTCCAAGTTTGCTAGATGGTCCCAAAGGGCCTTTCTCTCAAGCGCCGTGTAGAGAGCATACACAAAAGTAACAAGATACTCAATTTGAGTAGTCTTACATGTGGCGCTAAGATGCACATGTTGTTTGTCAATTTCAAGTACATTAATATGAACAAAATGTGGGTCCCAAATGATGCCAATACGGCCACCATCAATTTTGTCAAAATTAGTAATAGATAGCCAAGAAGGTAATCTATTTGAACTAAAGTTAACAAAATTAGTAGTGGTCATTTTGGTTTCAAGAAGACAACACAAATGAATATTATTAGTGCGAATAAACTTAAGGATAGAGTTTTGTTTGGAGACCTTATTAAGGCCTCTTATATTCCAAGCGGACACAATCATCAAATCCTTTTGTTGTTGTTCCTCCATCCTCCTCTCTTCCCTTGATGTCTCGGCCTACTCCCATTGTTTTCAACAATAGGGCTCGGCTTTGCTCTTGCTTTGTACCTAGTAAGATACAATAAAGTATATGGATATTCAATGAACCAAGAGTTAAAATCATACCCATACTCCGTAGGAAAAACACCCGGAATAGCCTCCATGCATTTGAGCGTGAAAGTGAGCCCCTCGGTAAGCACATCTTGGGTGACTCTCAAGTAGTTATCAAGCCTCACCATTTGATCCTTTACTTCATCGAAGTGTAGGAGATGAATCAAAGGTAGGTTGTCTTCACCAAGTTCAAGTTTGACAATAACATCATCTCGGTATGCATCTCTTATGTCTTTCACCACACGCACTTTGTTGTAATCCACCATGCTTGGACGCTTCACAAGAGATGCTTTCCCCCTTGGACACCCGTCTTCATAATATCTACAAAGATAGTGCCTAAGAACACCCCTCATAAATGTAGGGCCGAAAGTGTACCCATTGTTGGTACTTGTGATACCGGGCAGCCCCTCCAAAGTTTCCTTACTAAATAGCATTCCGGGTTGGTCTTCATTCACAATTTTAAGATGATGATCCATCTTTAGTATTATAGCATCCTTATCTACATGTTTTTTATGTGTTACATTGATAGTAGGCATGAGAACATCATCGGTATGCATTTCAACTATCACCTCATCTTGATAGGTGTCATGGAACTTTTGTACTTTTCGGACAAGTACATCCTCACCATCTTTGAAATCGGATGTGCCACCCTCACCCCTTATAGGCTTCTTCTTCCCCCATTTAAAGAACCGAAATCTCTTGAAAAAAGGATGGTCTCTTTTAGTGATAAAAAGGTCATTATCTTCCTCAATTGCCTCCTTGTTGCTCACTGTTTTGGCAGCCCCCTCGGCCTCGTTTTCCTCTTTGTTGCTCACTGTTTTGGCAGCCCCCTCAGCCTCGTTTTCCTCATTGTTGGTCACTGTTTTAGCAGCCACATTGCTACTTTCGGCTACTGTTTTGGCACCACAAGTTGCACCCTCGGCAGCCCCTTCTTCTATATTAATGCCCAATCTTTTTTTTATAACATCTTCTTTAGCTTTCTTTTCAATTGAGGCAATAATGGAGCAAGTAAAAGCATGGTGTCCAAACTTTTTGCAATGGAAGCAATAGTTTGGAAAAGTTTCATACCTCACATATTGAGTGTGTAGTTTGCCATTTGGTAGTTTGATCTTGAATTCAAGGGGTGGCGGTTTGGAGGCATCAACTTCAATTAAGACTCTTGCAAAATTTGATCTAGCTTTTTCAAGTGTTACTCTATCCGTAGTGATGGGGATACCCACTTTAGAAGCCACCTCACTTATAATATCCTCTTCCCAAATCCTCATAGGAAGATGGGGGAAGTGCACCCAAATAGGAACTTTGAGAAACTCCTCATCATTCATAGTAAAGTCATCCGAGAGCAACTTTAAATGAAAAGTTTTTCCAAACATAGTATATGGCCCCTCCAAAAGAACTTTAGCCCTATCTTGCTCATTTTGGAATTTAAAGATTATCCACCCTTTATCATGACTTCTAAAACGGCATGGAACACCCCATTTTTGTACAATAGATTGGAGGTTCTTGTAGCCGGGGTTTCCACCATCAAAGTAGGCAACCAAACAATGGCCCCAAAGAGTGATTATGGATGGTATCTCTCGGGTGGATAGGTCAATGATGTCTCCTTTCGGCTCGATGTACCGAAGCTTCATGCCTTTGTTAGGTTCTCTATTATCTTTGAAAAGTGATACAAATGAGGGCTTGGAGGCAGGTTTACCCCATTTGCTTACCACCAATGCCGCGGCATCCTGCTGGTCCACCGGGGCAGTTTGTACAATGGCCTCATCCACCTTTTCCACCGGGGCAGTTTGTTCATTAGTTGGAGGAGGTTTGTTAGCCTCGGCTGCTTCCTTGTCCAGGATTTCTTTAACACTAGGATGAATCTCGTACTCCTCATTTTCAACCTCCACATGTTCAATAGGGGTATCATGTAAGACTGGTACAATAGGATCACCATCTTGACAGTTTGTGTCCAAGCCATCGAAAACAGGAGCAATAGGAATAATAGGGGCAGTTTGATGACTATCAATGTTGATATCCAAGCCTTTAGAGGTTACCTCCATAGTTGAGTCATTGGCCCCATGCGCATCCTGTATGCTTGAGTCCCCAGACAGTATGTTCTCTTCTTTGGAATTCTCCATTATGGGTTCCAAGGCTATAGGGGAACCAGCATCCTCCATATGGGTAATCAGGTCATCCTTCCCAGTTTGTGATATGTCATCCGTATCATGTGTAATAGCCAGAATTGCTTCATCAATTTCTTTATTTTGCTTGGCCCGAAGTCGAGATGAGGATTTCGTAGGAGCTACCTCCTTTTTCTTTTTGGTGGCCATGAGAAAGGGAAGCTAGAAGAAAGCAGCCCCTTCTAAGTAACCATCCAGGAAAATTTGAGCAACTTTCTATTTTGAGCTAGGACCGTACAAAAATGGCAGGAGCCGTTGGAGAAGATGACCAATTTCCAATTGTCTTTGTTGATGGAAAAGATTATAATAGCTTAATCCCTACAACCAGGAGAAGCTAAAAACACACCCCAACCAAAGACCGAACAGCAGGAGGCCGAGATATATCCGTTGACCTGCGTTCGTAAACAGTGTTTCCGCCGGTGTTTATGAGTGAACTAAGGCCAAAACTCCTGAAAACGAGCTCAAAAAATGGAGGATATACTCCCCAAAGCGACTTAGGATGTATAACGACCAATATTTAAGCTCCAGAGCAAGATCAATGGAAGAAACGAACTGGATTTGTGGATTAACGAAGAAGAGCCTCGATGGAGAGGGAGAGAATCAGCTCTCAACTTCAGCGTAACCCATTGCAACTCGAAATTACACTCTTTGTTCGAGTCTGGCACGCCCGAGGTTTTTGTTTGTTTCTTTTCTGTGTTTGAATTTTCTTTCTGTATACTGTAAGATCCGCTCTAGCATTAGCAGTAGTCGGTAGGTGTGGGAGTATTAAATTTTGAGGTGCCGGCCGGGGCTACCACATCTCCCCCATTAAAAGCCTCGGGAAACCCATAACAATTCAAACACCCTTCATTTTCTTCTCCTCTCACATAACATACCCACTGACACGATTCCCTTCTCATGGCGGCATTAGCAGTGACGAGGACAAGCGCCGTCCTCCTCCTAGTGGTGGTTGGGCTGGCCGTCACCGACGCGCAGGCGCCGGCGGGGGCTCCGTCGGCTGCGGCGGAGGACTGCATGACGGAGTTGCTGGGGATGTCGGATTGCTTGACGTATGTGGAGGCAGGGAGCAACCTGACGAAGCCGGACAAAGGGTGCTGCCCGGAGCTGAAAGATATAGTGAACAATCACCCAGTTTGTTTGTGCAAACTTCTGGCTGACCCCAACAATAACAGTGTGGGAATCGCAATTGAGGTGAAGAAGGCCCTCAATCTTCCCACTGCTTGCAAGATTGATTCCCTTTCTCCCAGCCTCTGCTCAAGTAATTCCTTTTTCTACATCATTACTCTTTCTAGGTTTTCTTGATTCACTTTTTTCTTCTTCTGTTTTTACACTTCTGTTATATACTATCGTATCTGTCTATTTGCTAAATGACTGAATCAGAAGGTGAAGCGAAAATATTTTAATTTTATCTCACAATTAACTTCATGTTTTTTTTGTTTTGACCACTTTTCGAGTTATCACAATTAGTAATCCCTTATTTCTGTTTATCAGCCTTGGCACTTTTGAATTCACAACAACTAAAATTGGAATGACCTTTTTGGCTGATTTGATTGGAGTTGTCATGATCATGTTAGCTATTTTCTCATAGTTCTGTAATGAGTTTAGTTTTCAATTTTGAAGTCTGTTTATTTCAAAATTTAATAACAATTACACCTTAATACAAGAATGGTTTATGAGTTCAGTTTTCAAATATAATATACATATACAAGCTTAAATGTGTTCTTATAAATTATACTACTACTGCGTAGTATTTATAAATATACACAAGAAGTATCTTGTATTTTTAGAATTTGTCGCACTATAGCACTTGAAAATAAAAATAAGGTAGACTTTTCCAAAAAGGACTAAATAGGGTTTGGAATTCCAAAATATGACTGTTATGTTTTTCTTCCCGAAGTAGGAGTAAGATGACAGTATTTACTGCAATCTTTTAGTCAAGACTGCCAAATAGTTGCAATACTATGCATTTAACGTGACAATATTTATTATAATTAATGGCAATATTTTTCAATCATGCCGGTATTTTTCAATCGTGACAGTAACGGTTCCTATTTTGGGAAGAAAAACATAGTAGTCCTATTTTGTGAAATTAAGAACGTTGTTTACTCCTATTTAGGTCAATTTTCCGAAAAATAATGATACAATTGATATTAATTGTGAAATAAGAATGATTGTGAATCACCAAATTTGGTATGAGACCCAAATTTGGTATGAGATGGACATGTTAAAGTACTTGAAGAAAACTACTTAAAAGTAGAAATGTGGTACAAACAAATAAAATAGTGTACACATATATTTTTAGAAAAATAGATTAATAACTGATGCATAGTAATTAAATCCCATATTGAAACAATAGAGTAATACTTTTGTGAAGTTCTTTAGTAATTCACATACTAGTACTCCGTATATAATTTTCTTTTTGTTAAATCCAAAGTTATGCTGATTTTCTTATAGCAAAACATTGTGTGGTCAGTATTATTTGTTTCTACTTTACAAACTAAACCAGAATGATCATAAAAAAAAAAAAAAAAACTAAATCAGAATGATAAGGTTTCATTTTCTAATTCTGTGTACCTGGTCAAGTTGGAGGTTTATTCGAACAGAGAGATATAATAATATAATAATGGTAACAATAAATGTTAACCTCATCCTGTCAGCCCAAGAGTTGGCACCTATATTTCAATGTGTATTGTATGAGTTATATTAATTTATGGCCAGCTCCCCATGAGACCGTTTTTAGTATATTTCAATGTGTGTATGCCAACCTGTCACAACTGCCAACTACTTATGCGGTGTATTTAGTTGTATACACAGTGATGAATTTAGTGAATCATCGCAATGATAGACATGCTAGGCATATACTCCATTCGTCATATTTTATACGTGGTTTACAAGATTTCACTTTATTTTACTCAAATTTCAATCACATTTTTTATTTTTTCAACCACTTTATTAATAATTAATAATCCTGATAATTATGTCAAATCAAAATAAGACACATATTATGGGATGAAGGTATTATTTGTTTTCATGAAATATTAATTTCATTCATTATCCGTGCAACCTATGTAGCACCGATACCGGTACGCGGAAACGCGGAAACGGGTACGGGGATACGTCAAAACCAAAAAAAGTAGGATACGGATACGGGGCCATATTTATAAATATTAAAAGTAATAGGGGTGTATTTACAAATATTAAAAGTTATAGGGGTCTATTTATAAATATTAATAATAGATTTTTTTTGAATATGTATACATATAATATCCTATGATGTCTACCCATTCATTGCATTGAAACATTTTCCTTTTTCAAGATAATATCTCGAAATATAAATGTAGTCAATAAGTCATTAATTTAAAATGAGAAATAAGTCAAACAACTACAATCTTGAAATTAAAAGTGCAAGTACCCACTTCGGAGTATGAGTTAATGACTTGATTCGGATATAGCCATGTAGGCCCATTATTTGATTACCAAGTAAAATGCAGTTTTAGATTTTCATTTTTTTTAGAATTTTATTAAGTAAATTTTGGGATTTTTTTTAAAAAAAAGTTGATACGAGTATCCGTCAGGATACGAGTATCGGAAACTTTCAAAAAATTACAAAAAAAAAATGGAAACTTTTAAAAATTGCAGATACGGCCCGGGAACATACGGTACGGGTATCCTAGAGTATCGGATACAGGAACGTATCCGATACGCCGATACGCTACCCTAGGGAAGTATCCGTGCTTCATAGCGTGCAACGTACAAGTCAATTCACTAGTCTATATATATAGAGGAATGATCTCCTCCAGTCGAAGGGACAGGACCCTCCGTCCGGCTGCCGCCGTTTGGGGCGGTTACCGGTAGAATTTTTTTGATGAATTTTTTTGAGCATGTTCCTTAAGTCTAGTTTATTCACAAAAATTTTCAGCTAAAAATTCGATCGGGAAGGCAGTCAAATAATTTTTTGAAGATAACTGCGCAAAAATATAAGTTGATAAAATGGGATATTTGAAATTCACTTTTAATTCTTGGATCGTTTCCTGTTATGATGAAATGCATTGAATATGTTTTTTGTTACCAAATTGCTTATAATAGGAGCAAAACATAAACTGTTCACAAATAGGACTAATTATGCATGCATTTTTCTCAAAAAACGACTTGTTTTGTTTTAGTGTATGTTTGGTACAATTGAATGAAATGATATATTACAAGTTTTTTAGTTTTTAGTAACCGTTAGTTTGCTTTGATTGACCCATCTCTGGTATAACAGGTTGTGACAAATTGAGGCAAAAAATAATAGAGTTTCTCTGGGATACACTTTCTCTCAAAAACTGCTCTAGACATCTTCTCAAAAAAAATCATAGATTTTTAAAACAACACATCTAAATTGTTGTGCCGAACATGCAAGTAAAAGCTTTTAAAGACTTGTTAAATTGCATGTAAGTTAAAAGATAGTGAGTTATATTTGGCAAACATGCACTCATTAAAAAAAATAAATGAGTTAGTCTTCTTCTTTAAGAGTGAATGGCTCAAATTAATGGCATAAAATAAGAGTTTTTTTCAAAATCATTACTAAAATAAAACTTATTTATAAAAATGTTACTAAAGTTACTATGAGTATAATGCCATGTCATTAAGTGTAAAGGTCAAATATAATTTACTATGATTAAAGTTATTATAGTCATTATACTTAAGAATTCACATTTTTGTAAAAAAACCTTTATGTTAATTATAAATATGTAATTATTCATAAAATAATGGTTATCATATCTGAAGTTTGTTGTGTTTTAGTCACAAGCCGGCCTAAAGTAGCCAGTAGAAATTGTATTATTCAAACATCAGCTTTAAAAGATGCAAATGTCACTCTTTTTGTTGAACTACATTACAACAACATCCCAGCCTGTCCCAAAAGAAAATGTTTCAGATTTAATGTTCTTTAACCTGCTAAGAGAATATTAAACTTTATTACTTTTTGGTATTCTCAAGTAATTCAGCCAATTTGGTTATACCCTAGCTAATTTATCTCTTTGAGTCAAATTTACAATCACACAAACTGAACTCTCTTTTGTTTCACTTTGCAGTTTTAGGTATAAACGTTGCTGGAGTACCTGCTCCCGCTCCTGCTGAAGGGCCATCATCTGGTATTATCACTCAACAATTCATTATTTCTATGTTGAAAAAATCACTATTCCACCTTATCTTAGCACAAAATTTGATTGTTTTTGTTCAGTATGATCAAATCTCTCGAGGGGGAGAAGTTTGATGCATGTATTACCCAACAAAAAATCTATAAACATGAAATTTTGTACACTGAAAATCTATAATATGGAGATTTAGATCGATAGCCGAGGTATTTCTTAAAATATTACTAATAAAAAGTCATGAATAAAAATTTGACTTTGTAAGTTTTTGATTTTTTACTGATTATGATTGAGTTCAAAGTTTACATCATGGTCACTAAATCATATGGAGTAGTATCTTTGAACACTTCTATAGTCATTAAAAATTATCAGGTCACGCTTTTATCTACCATTTCTCCAAGAGTAATATTAGTGGAATTTTTTTTGAGCTTTATTACTACTGTCGTTTCTTTAATGTTTTATTAATACCAAGTTCAAAATTTTGTGGGCTTGAAAATGCAGGTGCAGGAAGTCCATCTAGTGTAACAGATGGTAGTGGCGGGTTAGCGTCAAGTCCAGCTGCTGGGAAGGGGGCCAGTGCTGCTCCAAGAACCACCTTCTTTCACCTCTGTCATTCCCTTCTTGCCTTGGCTGCTACCCTTTCCTTTGCATCTTTTCTTTAACTCTTATCAACCAAAATTCATTAAATTGATTTCTCATCATTCATGTCGTCTTTATTTTTCTACTTTGAGGGAATGTTCATGTCCTAATTATGTATCAGTTTGTCTAAAAAGAGCTATGTTTACGATATCTCTGATATTCTCCTGACATTTCATGGTATATATGCGTAATGTTTGCCCTCGGTGTTGCTATTTCATCTACTAATGAGTGTAATGAGTTATAGTTTTTGTATATGTTTATTCTACAATCTACACGTGAGTTGTCATGTTACATGGTGCATGTATGAGTCAATGAGTGTATGACATGAGAAAGATTAATACGGAGTACAAAAGAATAAATCGATAATGATTCTTTCTGCAACAGTTTTTTATGTGACCATTTTCTTATAAGTGAATAATATCGCTCCAGCCACTCAGCCAGTGTGCAAAGGTCACTTCGATTTGAACCGTTGGAAATAAGTATGCATATAAATACTCCGTATATAATAACACTGGGGGATGAGGTTATTGGTATGATTAAATTCCTTCACTAATATTCTACGGAAAGACTTCTGATAATCTGATATGGGATGTAAACCCTCCACAATTAGCTGAAGGTGTTTGCATGTATACACAGCTACGGAAGTACTACAAAAACGTATATAAAAGGACAAAAATGTCAACCATTAAGAACACAGAGTATACTAGGAAGGAAATACATAACTTTATATCTGCCTATGAGATTATGAATCGAGTAGATAGATGACTGTGAATTCCCCCTTCTGTAAGGAAACAGCACTGAGAGTTGAGCAGCAGTGTTGATCATCGTCTATGAACCAACTGAAAACATCACTGTTTCTCCTTTTTTGCCAATGATTCTCCCTTATATTCACTGCCGGCGGTGACCACAAAGCCTGCCCCAACCTTTGTGTGGAAAAGTGCAAACCAAAGTATAGTGAGGAATTTCCGTGAGAGAAAATTAAGAAATTGATGCACTCGAAATGGCAAGCACACACGCACACATATTCTTGTTAGGGAGAGAGGTTACTTGGGAATCCCTCAGGACAACACGTTCTTGGAGCTGAACGTTACTGCATACAATGGAACCTTGGATTGTACAACCGTCGCCAATTGTAACATGGTTCATGACAACAGAATTCACTACCTGTGAGTAGTCCATTGTACATCAAAAGGGATCTATTATCATCATTTCGCAAACTACTACTATGATATGTATGAATGCTTCTCTTTCAAATGTCATATAAAGGTTACTCCATATTATACCTTTACATTTGAGCCAATCCGGCAATGGCGACCAATGATGGACTTTTTTACGCTGCATTTATCACCCATTTCTGAACCCTCTCCCAGCATACAATGTGGTCCCACCTACAGAATTGATATCAACAAAAACAGTGTATAAATCATCATCAGTTGAGAAGATCAACATCAACAGATTTGTTTGGATAGAGTTTTGGAGGCATTAAAAGCATTGGCTTTGGAGGGCTTAATCGATATCTTGCAAAAGGATAATAGTTTATGAAGGCAGAGGTTCAGGGAATGATAACATCATCACAAAATTACCACAAAATGAATAAGTGAAAGTGATGTAATGCAAGGGAGAATTTGGGTGTTTTTACCATTTCTCGAACCTTTAAATTTTTTATTTAGATTCTACACATCTGAAATACTGGCATAATATGTGACCACATACCATTTCAACCAGCTTTAATCAATTTCATTGCCCCTGTATTTACAAAATACCAAGATACTCCGTATATGATAAGCCCTCCAAAGTCATCACATTCAAAACCACCCATCGAAATAAACACTAAGAAAAAAAATCTGAAAATGCACTTGTGCATCACATCTCACCGTTGTTTTCAAACCAAGCACAGACGAAGGATGAATTACGTTGTTATGTGCAGAAAAAGAGTAACCAGATAGGTGACTGGCATCTCCAATCACCTGAGCAATTTATAGATTAAAATGAGCCAATATAATTTGATATTTGATATGAAGCGTAAGTTAATAAAGTAGGAACGAAGCAAAATCGCTCACATCTCGGTTTATGTCACTGAAGGCTTGGATGGAATTCAAACGCATGCAATAATTGCTCTTGTTAGCAATATAAACACAGCACTTATGGGTTTTCTTAGGAACTGGAACAGATTTTTCAGGACCACCAAATGTATATTGGTCATGAAAACTTTGAACAGAAGCATTGGCCATAAGTTGAGACAACGAAACTGAACTGTTAACCTGTGAAGCATCCTTATGATTCCCATTCTCTTCGGAGTGCACTCCATTGAGTGATAACTCAGATCTCTAAATATAATGTCATAAAAAACTAGTTCAAAACTAACACTATTAATAATAACAATAGTAATAATAATAACCAAAAATCAAACCACTGTGCAGTATATTGTACTAACCAGCTGACTTCTCACAAGATATGGCAAGACATCACACTTCAAGCTTGTTAAGCTTGGTTTAAGAGATAGAACTTCTTGCAGGGCAGTTCTAATAATATTCAAATAAAATTACACTTCAATCCATAAAAGGAAAAACAAAGTGAACTGTGAAAAAAAGTGGCAGTGCTTCACACCTCTTGAATGCATACATGTGAGCATCCATCAGATCAGAGTGAATATCCATCTAAAAGGAACATTTGTATATGAGACTTGAGGAAAGGAGGAAATAGTAAATATAATAAGACAGACAACTAAGTTGTATTATAATTGTTGATAGAAGAGCAGGCCTAGACACCATAGAACCATTAGCTTCCAGGGCCAGAAGTGTCTCATAGTGCTCCAATGTGTGTTAAGCATATCTGAATAGCTAGGCAGGGGGGGAACCTGGCCCAGGCCCACTAAACTTGGTAAGAAAACATTTTAAATGCATAATATTGTACAAAAAATGATTATATTGTTCTGGCACCTCAAATTTGAGTATTGGGGAGACCTAGTTTTTAATAGGCCAATGCAAAGTTAGGTACATTCCTAAGTCCTAAGCTATTGTAGCAAAAAGACTCGCATTCAAAACATAACCATCATATTTAGATATCCGAATTTCAGAGTACGGCTTTCTGCAAATTATATTCAACACTAAATTGTTTGATGGTTGAAATGATATGATAATGCATAAGGTGCAGGAAAATAAAATACTTGGCCAACTGCTCTGAGTATGCTCTTCTGAACGCGCATGTCTTTCTCAACTTCAAATCCTGGGAAAGAATGGAAATGCTTAATAGTGCCTAGTGCCTACTAAGAAGTGGATGGTAAAACAATGTCAAGGAAAAGAAAGGTCTCACCAGCTGCAATATGCAGAAGAAATTGCTTAGTGGGGTCCAGTCCAACAATATTATAGCGTGCAGGTTTCTTTGCAGATGAGCCCGCTGACTCTGAAGGTCCACCAGCTGGAGCATAACAAAGCATCGCAGTAACAATAGCATCATGTCGTCTGTGAACTGCTGCAACAGCCCCTGGAGGAATATCAGAAACCAGATCACCACTGACAACCTACACAATACAGGATTAGATGAGATTTCAGGGACATTTGGAACCCGTAAAATTGCTAGGGGGACAAAATATGGAGGAAAATAGTCGGGAAATCTGTGACAAAAGAAATTTGGGGAGGGGGGGGGACTTGGTTCAGACTCAATAAATCATTTCTAGGTATTTGTTCAAACTCATTGTATTAATGTATTTCTATTCCAGTATAAAAAGACTATAAGATCTAATTATATATACAACAACATCCAAACCATATTCCCAAAACACCCACACGATCTAAATATATATAAAAAATTTAATTGATAAAATCAAATATGATTTTTCTTTGTATTTCCCTAGGTAAAGCCAGGCATTTAATGAAAAAAAAAAATAGATTATTTTATTTCCTTACTCTACTACACATGTATAAGCTAAATTCCAAGTTGAATACCAACCAAGATGTCTTTTGCTGTCAGGTGCGGATCAATTGCCCTCAGTGCTCCTGCTGTTCCTACATCTTCAGGAACTGCCGCAACCTGTGAGACATTAATTACTTTATTAGTTAAGCATCCAGCACCAGCAGTCACGCAAGAATAAAAATGTCCATAACATACACAATAATATCCAATTATTGAAACACTAAAGCTAGTAAAACTTAGCGAGTATAGATATTACTCTAAGCTTACAAGTTATGCAGTCTATCCAAGCCTTAATGAGTTTTCATCAGTGCTTGTGAGCTGTTTCCGGATGGGTCATCCGGAAACAGTCTTTTTGTGCTTTAGTACAGGGGTAAGACTGCGTACATCCGACCCCCCCTTACCACACCGTAGGTGGGAGCCTTTACGGCACTTGGGTAAATGATGATTGATTGATTGATTATTTAAGCAACATCATGTAAGTTATTAGAAAAAACAACTCAAGATCATTTTTTAGAATTATCAGAAACAGCAATTTATTGGGCAAATACAGTGTAGATTGAGATTAGATTGAGATTTGTTTCAGAGTAGCCAAAACATTGTAGTTTCAAAGTTTTGAGGTTTTCTCGAACACTCTTTAAGGATTACAAGTCTATAACCAATTGAGCATTTTTACAATCTTATTTTAGCAGTGTCTGGAAAAATTTAGTGACACTGCCCTGAAAGCCATTAAAGTAATACAGGGAAGGGGTGCACTATGCACAGTAAGTCTGGTCATCTATTCATCTCAGAGGTTTTTTATGATTCTATAATAAACCTGCAAATCTTCAATTTATCAATTCAATGTTTTGCCACAAATACAACAAACAACAACAATATCCAAGCCTTATTCCCAAAAGATTTTGGGGTTGGCTAACATGAACCAATCCATGGTATCGGAGCCACAAAGGAAAGAAAGATAAGGTAAGATAAAAAAGGATAAAAGGATAACATAAAGATAAAAATGCAGCATCAAAATCATTCATTTTCCTACAAAAGGAGTAATCTGTATAGATAGTGACAGTGTGCATACCTCAACATGTAGGCGGTCAACATAGGCACTACATATCCAAGCCCCCACTAAAGCAGCTGCATCTTGCCCTTCAACCACCTATGGTCAAAATAAGGGAATTAGGAACCCTAATTCCCTAATATCCCCACTGATTCCCAGTACACATCACACGAATACCCCGGATCAAATTTAAGATACTTAATTTGTCCAATGAGTACCTAAAGGCACTAAAACTAAAACAAAACTGTTGGCGTGTAAGAAACATACCACAATAAGATCTTTGAGATTGTTTTGCTCGAAAAGGTCAAGCACGTAGGACAGAACAGGCTGGTTAGCCACTGGAAGCAACGCCTTTGGCACGTCCTGAAAATTATCAAATCTTTACATATATATTCGCAGAAAAATTATTGGCATCAGAATGAAAATCTGAATCATGTGTACATTTTTCGGAACAGGCGGGGAAATGGAGGAACCTTAGAAACGAGAGGGACAAGATTCTTGGAGAAGCCACCTGCTAACACCACCACTTGAAAATCCATCAAAGCAACTCCGCAATCGAATGCAACAATCGCTCAATCGGCGAAGAGGGTGTTGGGCGTTTGGGTGTGAATGAACTGATGAAGTGCTGGGAATACTGTATGACGTATGAAGAAATTCAAATGGGGATGGACACGTGAAGTTACTGAAGTTTAATTTTAACAGATCAACAATGGACAAATGAAAAAGAAAACTTCCCTTACTCTAGTCCTGTTAAATCCTTACTCTTCTGAACCTCTGGAGGATGCGGATGAAAAGAAATCAAAATTGCAGGATAGAGGGTTTAGTGCTGGGTCTGTTTCACGGCATTATGACTTCAGCTTCTCTCCCGTTTGAAAGGTGCAAAATAACATGCGAATTTGGATCATTAATACGTACAAATTCTTATTCCCTGTCAAATGTTTGCTTGTCTAATTTTGTTATCGACCCTTATACTCACCATACTTATTTATATTTTTGAAGGTCTTTTTTGTGAGAAAATTGCTCTCCGGATCAATTTAAAGGTACTTTACAAAAATAGGATTGAGTTATATTTTTTCCGTGCGTGGGACTCATTAAACACTTTTTTAGGAAACTTTATTTTTGTTTTCCATTTTTACCCTTCACCTTAATACTCTGGATTAAAAATGAAAAAAATAACTTCCCTGACTCCTCTATCTCCGGAAGCGTATATAGTACAGCCGGTTGTACGGTGAGAACCGTACACCCAGTGACATTTTTGTAATTTACATAAAATTCGGGTCTTGTACTAAATGAGCATTAAAACACGTCCAGTGAGCATGAGACATATTTTGTTGAGCATTAGAAGCATAACAATGAGCATCGTGATCTCTGTTTCATGTCTTCGAATTTATTTTCTTTTCCTTATTTTTGATGTAATATGATACTTTTGAAATATGCATTGATATTCCATTTTACAAATGAGCATAACATGAACACCCGTTGAACATACATAACTTATAAAATGAGAATTGATAAAACAAAGTGAACATACATTACTTACAAAATGAGTACAAAACTAGTACCAAATGAGCATACGTAACATACAAAATGAGTATTGAAAAATTCAAAAGCTCATTTGAAATTTTTAACAAACTCAAATATTTACTTGTATGTGCTCATTTCTTTTTAAAAGGAAAACAAAATAAAATATGGACCTATTACTCTATTAGAAACAATCTTATTGAAATATGCATTGATATGTCATTTTACAAATGAGCATAACATGAATACCCGTTGAGCATTCTTAACTTATAAAATGAGAATTGATATGAAAATCATAAGTACTTTTAGTTGAACATCAAGACATTTTCATTGAACATCAAACATCATCTACTAAGTATCTATAATCAACTCTTACGTGAATCTAATATAATATGGTACTTTTGACATATGCATATATATATGACATTTTAAAATGAGCATAATATCAGAACAAAGTGAGCATACATTACTTACAAAATGAGTACGAAACTAGTACCAAATAAGCATACATAACTTACAAAAATGAGTATTGAGAAATTCAAAAGCTCATTTTAAATGTTTAACATACTCAAATATTTACATGTATATGCTCATTTCTTTTTAAATGGAAAACAAAACAAAATATAAGGGCATGTTTACTAATAGAAATAATTTTCTGTTTTCAAGTCTCCAGTTTTTTGTTTTCATTTTCCAGTTTTTTGTTTTCCGAATCAGAAAACATGTTTACCAGAGTTTTTCAATTTTCCATTTCATTTTTTCTAAAAAATCGTTGATTTAATATTTGGAAAAGAAATACACAATTACAAACATTTGAAATAACACAAAAATTTAACATAAATGTTCCCAAACAATGAAAGTTCAAATAGTGAGATGTTTTTAATCAAACAACACCCGTACTTCAACGTCTCATACATTGTAATCATCCCATATTGCATTTGCAGTACTTTCTCGAACTTCGTGCATTTGTAATTGTTGAGACATATCAAATTCGAGTGATCCATTTTCACTTGTACTTGCTGTTGTGTTAAATATCATATCTTCTTCATCGTACTCCATGAACAAACGATCAGTCATATCTTGCATGTGAATGAAGTTATGCAATGCACAACAAGCTATGGGAATTTGAACATGTCTTCTCAATGGGTAACAACGTGGTATGTCTAGAATAGGAAAACTTTCCTCTAGAATGGTAACCATATGGCATCATCCTTTTCTTCTTGAGTTAAACTCATCTACCACAACAAATATGGACACTCACTTGTGAATAATACGAAAAGATCAAGTACAAAATTGTAGCATGCTATACTTCTGTTACGAAAAATATTATCAGTTATAATTAAAAAAAATTAGTTAAGTCCTCTCTTTAGATAACTTAATCAGATTTTATCCTCATCAGCATCCATTTATATGCAAAGTTCAGTCCTCTCTTTAATCTTTCTATCTTTTCTCTGTCAAACACAAAGCTCTACTTACAAAAGAGACTCCTCCTAAGTCTAGCCCTCTCCCTTGCTAGACTCTATCTCAAAACACACATATCAACTTATAGGAGAGTGATTTCTGTTGATTGATATGCAACACAAAAATCTAAAACATTAAACAAAAAATCTGGAATGACATTTCCCATCCATTAAACCCACTATGACCTATCCAATGATTCTGTTATGAATCTGGAAAGAAAAAAAAAGCAAAACCCAGCTACAACCTATTCCTAATGAATCTGGGGAAGAAGATGGTTGCTTGAGGGCACTATGAGCCAATCCCAATCATAATATCCTGATGGACAGTACAAGAAAGTAAGGATGAGACTGGCCAAAATAGCACAAACCATCTAAAACCTATCCAAAGATTCTCTCACGAAGATGGAAAGAAAAAATAGCAAAACCAAGCTATGAAGGTGTACTTCTAGGCCACATCAATTTGTTTTGGGAAGGAAGAAAAACTTAACAGTTTAACCGAATGATTTTTTCTTTCCAAGGAACACCTTAAAGCTCCAGCTAGAACATATCTTTGATATTTATTAAGAATATTCTCAAAGGTAAATCTTATACAGAAATGTCAAAGTATGTTTTGGCCACTTCTCTTTTTCCATGGTGGGAAGGAATAAATGCAAAACAATTTCTTGGATTATTCTTTGATGAATTATTTACATTCACGTAGAACAAAAGTGACACAAGTATAATTTTTTTTAGCAAAAGAACTATTAGCATGTTTATTCATAGTTGAGCACCAAATCCAACTAGAAAAATAGTTATGCTATTTACATAAGTAGGGCTTAAAAAAGAACAACTAACATGCTCATTATCCACTACATGGAGTAGGACAGCCTTTTGGGCCTAGGGAATTTGGAAACGAACTAAACATAAAACACACAATTGATCTATACTCACTTTTCCAATCCCATTTACTAGCAGCTTTCTAAAACAATGAAATATGAATTCTTAAGCAATGAAAAGAGACTTTTAAAGCAATGAAAAAACATTCTATCCATAATAGATTTCCAATTTCTTTTTTCTAGATATAGATACATGTATATCTATATACAAATGCAAAAAACAGATCAAAAAAGGAAGAAAATATCTTAAGCCTGTAGAACACCTTCCAAGCAGTATACACCCCAGCCCAGGTATTAACAATTCCAAATCATTATTCCCCCATTTCAATCTTTTTGCTATCAATCTCTCCAAGACTAGATTTTGCTTCCTCATTCTTTAACAGCATTTAGATAAATATGACCAACAAACTATTCATGAATCTCACAGCCAATCCAATAAACAAACTTAGGCAGGAAAGTAATTTGGATCACATTCAATTCCAACATACTAATATACATCAAACTAATAAGCTATCAAAAAAATCAAATAAGCACTAAACATAGACAAGTGCGGTAGAAATAGCCATAAATTAAAAACAAATGAAGCTCAATTGCCCTCCAGGTTTCCAATCAAATTCGAAGTTCCAATAAGGTAAAGTGAAAATGCCATTTAATTTGAGATCTTACCTTGAACTCGTTGATAGAATACTGGCCAACTGAAGAAATAGGAGATTCCGTGATGGCAGGGTAAGTTCCTAGCAGCGACGCCCTCTTTGGCGAAGCTGGTGCGATGCCTTTGAGGAACGAAATCACGACCTGTAGTGTTGAAGAAGCTTGCGTACGACTTAAATAGAATAGGGAAGTGGTTAGACGGTCTTCAAATTGAAGGACGGAAATTAAAAAGATGGTAGGCGGAGGGTTAGGTACAACGCAGTAAAGACCAGGAGTAAAGATAAGCTTACCTTAACTCGCAGGAAGGTTGAGCGGGGAGGAAGGTTGAGCGCAGTGAAGGCAGAGGAAGGCGAATGAGTAAAAAGGCATTGTAGCACCGCGTTTTCTAAAACTTGAAAACGTCTAAATGTGGGTTTTCAGTTTCAGAAGGAAAAAAGCGAGACATCTCTCGTTTTTTTCTTTTGGAGAACAACTAGGGAAACAGGTTTTCTACTTTTTCTATCTCCAGTTTTCCAAAATTTTCCAAAAACAGAAAATATTTCTGTTAGTAAACAGGGCCTAAGGTTTTCAAATTTTGTATACTCAATTGTAGAGTTCATATGTTCAATAAAAGGAGCTTGATGCTCAATGAAAACGTCTAAATTCTCAAATAACAGAGTTTACGATTTTCATAGAAATGAATACTTCAAAAGTATAATACTCCGTATTAAATTAGATTCTCATATTGAAATTTATAAGATTTTGTTGTAAACATAATTTAAGATGAGAAGTTTTTATAAAAGAAAAGATAAGAAAAAGAAAGTAAATTAAAAAATATGAAGCAGATATCACGATAATCAATATTAGACTCCTAATACTCAACAGGATGAATCGAATGCTCATTAAAAATGCTCAACAAAAAACAATAATGTTTAATAATTTTGTGCTTGCCTTCGTAGTGGAGCTTGTTATTTATCGCACTTAAACAAAGTAAACCATGGCGCAGGGGGCTAGCAATCGCCTTAGCAATTTCTTCATTGGATGTCTATCTTCAATTTCTATTGCAAAGGAGGCAACCAACGTAAGAACCCCAAATCCCTATCTCATTATCTGTTTCAACCCCAAAACCATAGTCGTCAATTGACTCGATTCCCAAAACTCCGGTAAATTACACCGTACAACCGGCTGTATGGTGAGCACCGTACAGCCGGGTATTTTTTAAATTAAATTCAACTTGCAGGTTTAAGAAGACCTTCGGATCCTCTGTACTCAGGCTTGAGTCCTCGTGTCGCTCGTCCCAGGCTTCGCCGACCATCGTTGCTCCCTGCTAGATCCCCCGACGACCACCTCTCCCTACTAGACCTTCGGAGTTTTGGAGTACGTATATTGTACAACCGGCTGTACGGTGAGCACCGTATAGGCGGCCCAGTAACAAGCCCCAGGGAAAAATAGCAAAATAATTCGGTGGCATTGTTGTAATTAATGTGAAAATCACGTTTTCTGCT